CACCAGTGAAACTAGCTAGCTGCCTATCAATTGTCTGTCCACTAATCTATTGTGACGAGTGGTTCAAGTTGTGCACCACATGTACCTGACTCGGTAAAGAGTTAAGTTAACCTTAGCCTTAATTGTATTGTTGGAGCATTTTGATGTGTATTAGCCCTATTCGGACGGTATGTTAACTGTTTCTCATGGGAACTTAAGGTATTTTCAACATTTACAGGGGCTAGTCAGTGATTTTATTGCAGAATGTCGGTGTTTCAATTCAAATTTCACCGTTTGAATCCTTTCTGACCACTGCGCAACACCGTACGACAACTTTTGCGCGTCACTGTAATTTGCATGCATTTTTAATGTACACTTTTATTACTTAAATGCTGGGAAGTAGGCTATTTACAAGAACAATATTTCATCAGCGCTCCTCCTCAGCCAGAGGAGAAAGAGGGAAAAAACAGATAAACATTTGAAATGGGCCATACAGCAAGTTGTTAATATTAGCCTACAATTAGGCTATATACATTAAAGATATAAACCAAGCAATTTAATGTTTACCTCATGTAAATATAAGGCTGAATTAACTTATTTTAATTATTATATTTTAAAATGACATCACTTTGAGATAAAAAAAATAATTTCTATTGCATATGTCGTCCTATTTTTAAACAGGATATTTAAATAACCACATAATACAAATTATATTATAATATTTTCCTATTGTTAAATTAAATATGAAATTATTCATATTTTTCCAAGCATAGACTATTGTATTTACAGCAGACAATCATGCAACCACGTGAGCAGTGCATTCCCAGGTTTGTAGGATCACAAAACTCACTTCTCCATGAATAAAACAACATCTAAATACATGGGTTTTATCACTGATGTGCCATGCAGATTTATTTTTACAGACATCCACATGAGAAACCATTACCGTCCGAATAGAGCTATTGAGCACCATGCTTTAACAGAACTATTGGACAGTTATTACAAATTAAAAACCCATTAGTGAACAAAGACAAAGATGTTGTGTAGTGCATTAATGAATGATTTTTCATCATCTGACTGAGTGTTATCGCCCTGTTTAACTTTGTCTTTTTGGTTCCTTCAGGATGCAAACCAACAACATTGTCAGAATGAAGTTCAAGGAAATATTTTTTTTCTTCAAAACCTTTTACATTTGAAATGTTTTTGGAATGTGGTAAGAAATAAACTTTAACATTGTTAATATCATTAATACTTTTCCCTAAATTAATACTTTTTTTTTAATAGTAATATAAGTGTATGATTGTGTCTTATGTTGAATAAAAATAACTCTCTTACTTCCTTTGGCATTGCTGGCCTTTGTCAGTTTGCCAATGGTTTGTCTTCCTTCAGTTGCCAAAAAATTGTCCTACAATGGATGTTAAAGTCTTTGATGAGTCAATCATGATGAGGAATCATTCGACTACCTGCTGACATGACCAGACCTTGGTGTCCTAGAAATTTTCATCCCAGGCACAGCAAGTCCCAAAGGTAAATTGTTTGACATGCTTATCAAGTTTTGTGTTTATTCTTAGCAGTATTCACCAATTCACTGATTTGCATAGGCTAACGTGTCTATTGGATTAATTCTCAATAGTTGTATAGCATGCTATCAAAGTAGTATGAACAGATAATCAGACCACTGATATGGTTTATATTGAAGATTCTTTAAGCTTTAGGAGATACCGAGGGCACGTCAGAGTCTGATGACCCAGCAATGTTGATTAGAAGTCCTCCTGAAAAAATCAAGTTGAGGAACGTCGTCTTGCCCAAGTAAGAATCACCAGTCACCAGTCTTAATTGCATCTATATAGAATGACTTAAATATTAAAGATATTTGGAGCTATATACACTTGTCACTTGTCAATTTCTCATCTCTGCTCTGCAATATTACATCATTCCTTCCTCCAGATGTTCGAAGATATCCTAAAGAGCAGCCCTGGAGGTGAAAAGGTCATAAAAAAATACGCACACACTAAAAGTCTGTCAGATGGCCGAAGACGTGACATGGTGAAAATCTTGGTAGCACATTTGACAAATGAACATGGGTAGGTTGTTCATACAGTTCATACAGTATTGATGTTTATGATGTTATGGGTTGTAATTGGTTTATGTTTGTGCGTGTAGAACAAGCACAACAAGCACTTTAAAAGAAGAATGTGCAAAGGGAATCATCGCCCTATTCCCATACTTGGTTGACCCCAGGAGCAAGTTTGGTTATGTAAGTAGCTGTCGCCTCTCAATCTCTTTCATTTATTTTCAAACATTTATACCCTGATCTTTTCGCAAGGGCCTAGTACAGGAGTTGCAGATTTACAGTAAGAAATTGTTTTCATTTGGGACTCTGAATAACAGAATCATGTGGTTGATAAAGTTTAACTGTATGACTTCATTTCAATACTTGTAGAGGTTTCAGCTCAATTCATCCACACATCTGTAGTCATCAAGACTTGGTCATGAATGTGCTGTTAATACTGAATCTGTGTGCAGCATAAACTAATGTACTGGAGTGGTTAATGTATTTGTATTGTATTCATCTTCCAATGAAGTTACGTCAGGTTAAAATGAGCAGGAGGGTGTGTTCAACTCCTTCTACCTAAAAACTAAAAACCTAAAAGCCTAAAAAATGTTTTGTTTATTTTGTTTTCCCTGTCTCCAGGTTGGGACAGCGACATGTCTTCCATTCAGGTGCTGCTTCACCTTTTGCCACCCTCAAGTCAATGCCGCAAAAGACCAGGAAAGATCTCAGCTAGACAAGCATGTGATCGTCTTGTGAAATTCATCAAGGTGAAGCTACTGATGAAGCAGATCGAATGACACTTGTTCATAATGTTGTATTAATGTGTGACATTGAACTTGCATAATTCTCAGAAAGGCTCTTAAAGGGTTAGTTCACCCAAAAATTAAAATTCTGTCATTAATTACTCACTCTCATATCGTTTCAAACCCATTAAAAAAAACGTAATTTTCATCTTCGGAGCACAAATTAAGATATCTTTTGAAGAAATCCGAGAGCACTCTGACCCATCATAGACAGCAAAGGTACTACCACAAGGCCCAGAAACGAAGTAAGGACATTGTTAAAATAGTCCATTTGACATCAGTGTTTCAACCATAATTTTACGATGCTACGAGAATACTTTTTGTGCGCAAAGAAAACTAAAATAACGATTATTCAACAATTCTTCTCCTTCAGGTCAGCATCCTCAGCCATTATCGAGAGTACCATGATGCATGCGTGTGAAGCTGCTGACATCGAACATGCATGTGCTGCGCCTTGCTTACGAGCAGAGGAAAGCGTGCGCATGCGTCCTGATACTCTCATTAATGGTGGAGGACAGTGACTTGGGGGAGAAGAAATTGTTGAATAAAGTCGTTATATTTGTTTTCTTCGCGTACAAAAAGTATTCTCGTCACTTTATAACATTAAGGTTGAACCACTGTAGTCACATGGACTATTTTAACAATGTCTTTACTACTTTTCTGGACATAATTTCGTTGCTTTCAATGGAGGATTTAAAAAAAAACCTCTCGGATTTCATCAAAAATATCTTAGTGTTCTGAAGATGAACGAAGGTCTTACAGGTTTGGAACGACATGAGTAATTAATGACAAAATTGTCTTTTTGTGAACTATCCCTTTAAAACAACCCTTTGTTTTTCTCAGTGTATTTTAATAATCTGAAGAACCCTTTTCCAACATAAAAAGCAT